TCTTCTGTAAATGTTCGTCCGATGGAGAAATATTTTTAATAAAATTGAAGACAAAACTGTCCAAAAAGGATCACCATTTATTTTTTGTGTTCCAAGACTAACACATTCTCGGCGACTGACCTTTCTTTGTAGGCTGCTTGTCACCGGAAAATTACAGAGAGTCCTTTTAAAAAAACATAAAACACATCCAATTAAAATTACAAAAATTTCTGAAAAAGGAACTGGTGACATACAGTTGTCCTGATTACATCCATCTATACCTTCTTTTGGGGGTTTTGGCTGCTTTTTTTCCAGCCAAAACCCCCAAAAGAAGGTATAGATGGATGTAATCAGGACAACTGTATGTCACCAGTTCCTTTTTCAGAAATTTTTGTAATTTTAATTGGATGTGTTTTGTGTTTTTTTAAAAGGACTCTCTGTAATTTTCCGGTGACAAGCAGCCTACAAAGAAAGGTCAGTCGCCGAGAATGTGTTAGTCTTGGAACACAAAAAATAAATGGTGATCCTTTTTGGACAGTTTTGTCTTCAATTTTATTAAAAATATTTCTCCATCGGATGAACATTTACAGAAGAAATTAACATTTATTATGTTAATTTAAGCATACAGAAACATTGCTGTTGTTCCAGCAAAGATCTTATTTTCACTTTACCGAGTGCCTAGTAGGTATTGTGCAGATTACCTAGATACTCTGCACATTACCTAGGTAATGTGGAACAATTTTCGCAACTTTAACGGATCACCCTAGTTAATCTGCAGATTAGCCAGGTAATGTACACATTAATGGCTTTCGAGCTTTAGTGGTAACATATACATAATTTTAATGTAGATAATATACTATGACAGATTCTAGAGTCACTCACTCTGCTCTTATTTGCTGTAAAGAACTATTTGATGAGTTACTAATTGTGAATTAAAATTATCAGTTAACCCATATCATCACGTAACTTGTACTTACTTATATTTGGGTTATCAATATAAAATTTGGTAAGTGGGTTCATGTATTAGATTTCTACTGTTTTCTCTGCAATTTTATCCCAGTGGTTTTCTAATGATGGTTTTTTGTTTTTATATATTATATGAAATTTAGATTTTTATCGCTATTAACAATTAGTAGAGAATATCAATGCTATATGAACAATGTTATCTAAAATAACATTTTTAAATATTTGATACTTATTTTTTAGATCTGTAACAAGAAGTTATTACAGAGGTGCTGCAGGTGCATTATTGGTTTATGACATTACTAGGTAAATTTTCATTTTTTTAAAAGTATATTTAAAATGCTGCTTAATTTAAAATATACCTTGTGTATGAACATCACTTTAATCCAAACTTTTGTTCATTAAAAATATAACTAGCTGTTACCCGCAACTTTGCCTGCGTGGATTTTGCAAGCAAACCCCATTTATATTCAGTATTTCAACAACCATAGTAATTGATATATAACACCTACCTCTGAGAATGATGAGAATTGCTGAGAATCAAACGAACTGTTTTCAATTTGATCAATTTTCTGGAATGTTTACAATCGTTCTATAATTGAACCAATATGCAATAACAAATTCGAACTTAAAATGGCTTGAACATTTGGTTAAAAAATCAAAATGTATAAAAATATTTATAACAGTTTGAAATGTTATCAATTTAATACACCTAAGTACTCAATGAAGACTAAACGTAGTTGAAAACAAAAAATTGCATCTAAAATAGTACAGTAGAAGCCGTTCTTCAGGTTAAGCCTTAATCCTTTCCCTCTCCCCCGCGTAGGGGAATTTAAAAAAATCCCTTCTTAGTGTGCATTTTCATGACATACCCTAACTGTGTACAAAATTTCGCTTCTTTAGGTTCAATGGTTTGCTCTGGGCAATGATGGGTCAGTCAGTCAGGACAAGTAATTTTATATATTTAGATTATAATGAACTGGTACAAAACATTTTTGTAAAAACATTATCAATCATCCCCTATTTTTTCCATAGAAACGAGAATGGGTAAAACTTTCTGGAGTTTGAGATGATCTAATATTTCTTGAAGATATTGATTTTCAAACAAGGCAAAGAATGCGGATTCAATCAGATGGAACAGGGTCCCACTGTACATGAATTGTAGTAAATTATTTAAACAGACACTTGAATAGGAGGTGGATTGGATGACATGGACCAGTACAGTGGTCTACATGATTACCAGATTTGACTGTCTGACATCAGGAATATTTAAAAAATGTCTATGAACAGGAACCAACAACTAGAGAAGAAAATTCAAATAGCTTGTGCAAACTACCACAAAACATTTTATTAAAAACTATGAAACATGTTCAACAGAGAATTGGCTTATATATTTTGCAAAATGGAGATGTGAATGAACATCATTTGCCATAGAAAAAATTGTGACAGTCATTCATGTTAATTAATCATTCTGCTAAAAGATTAATTAAAATTAAAAATGCATTGCATAAATTTAGATAGCCTCCAGTTGTGACAAAAGTATTTGTATCAGTTCATTATTTAAAGAAAAAGAATGATTCCACCAAATAATAATTTTTTTTATGAAGTTCATAGATATACACAGATAAACATGCATAAGATGTAGTAGTATTGTAAAAGTTTAAACACACTTAAAAGATGCATTTATCAGAAGTTATAAGAAAATGCTGATAAAAGTTTGTTCATTTGTGATGTAGAATCATAATATGCAATAAAAAAAATGGAGATTTCCATTTAAGAAAATCCAATTCACTTCATTTTCACCAATTTTAGCACTGATGAAACTGATAGCCCTCCTTGTGGCCTCCTTGAAGCCATTGAATTTTTTATTCAATTTTTTTGTAGTATGCTTATTTTTTTTGAATTATTCCAATTTATTAAAATGGACCACCTTGTATATACCTCAACCCAATTCAATGAGTAATATAATTTTGAAGTTCCAGAAACACATTGCACAGTTGTGTTATTAGTTTCACTCTGAGAATTTTACACGGTTGTTTTAAGAATTTTTAAAAGAAGTTTGTTTTTATTGATTTTTGTGAACTTTTGGAAAGTGTTTTCTTTATAGATGGCATAGTTTCTCTCCTTATGCCCAGTCTTCCAGTTCATAGTTTATCATTAATGGAATATGTCTCTTTGAACTTAATATGAAAAATAATGTACGAAAAAAAGTGATTTTTTTTTTATAAGAGTTTATTTTGATAATAAAAATAACGATAATTATGTAGATGTATTTATATGCTACAATTTAATGTGGTTAACTCAGTAGCATATAACCTGTATCACTACATACACTGTACCGCTGAAGCAGTATGCAGTTCAGAACATGTTGCTTCAAATTTTTTCCCTCCACCCTTTCTTTCATTTCATTTCCATTAATAATTCTTTATAAATGTTGTTATAAAATAAGTGAAACAGAACAAATAGAATATATGGAATATTTATTCTGTTTGCTCTGTTTGGCTGAATCTCCTAAATGTGAATAGTTGTCAAACACTCAAAATATTTTATTATTACTTGATAAATAAAATAAAAACTGAATGAAACAATAAAAAGATTATGTTAATAATCTTGAAAATTTAGTGTTAATATCCAATGATATTGGTTTGAGAATAGATTGCTTAGATCTTGTTCACTGTAAAGAATTAATATATGATTTCAATTGAAGTTGATTTCTATTTCTCTAAGAGGAATTATATAGGGTGAGGTATTGGTAACTTACCAGCCTTTAAGATGCAAATTTAAATAGGAGAGTATAATAATATCAATAAGAGTGGATTGATGCATAGAAAATGAATGGGAAAGAACTAAAGGTGAGACAATGCTGTATATATGTTTAATAATGATTTCAGGAAAAATTTCAATGGCAGATGCAAAGGATTTTCATGTTTTCTAAAGATGCTCTTAATAACTAACCTGCACTTGTTTTCAAATTGATTTTTAAATTCAGATAATCCACAAGTTAATTGCATGAAAATATAGTAATTAAATAGTTGATATTATTAACCAGCAAATAACATCCAAACTATAAATGAAAGTCCAGAAATCTGTATAAATAAAATTCTGTGTCCAGTCAAAGAAGGGAAGGGGGAAAAAATTTGAGTTAATGTATTCCTGCAATCTGGATGATAAAATTGAATATAGTATTTTCAATTAAAATTTTAATATATATATGTTACAGTCAAAACCCGTTTTTAGTTAGAACGCGTTTTAACTAGTTGAAACTAGTTTATACTGAATGTCTTTGTTAAAACCCGTTTTGTCTAGTTGAAACTAGTTTATACTGAATGTCTTTGTTAAAACCCGTTTTGTCTAGTTGAAACTAGTTTATACTGAATGTCTTTGTTAAAACCCGTTTTGTCTAGTTGAAACTAGTTTATACTGAATGTCTTTGTTAAAACCCGTTTTGTCTAGTTGAAACTAGTTTATACTGAATGTCTTTGTTAAAACCCGTTTTGTCTAGTTGAAACTAGTTTATACTGAATGTCTTTGTTAAAACCCGTTTTGTCTAGTTGAAACTAGTTTATACTGAATGTCTTTGTTAAAACCCGTTTTGTCTAGTTGAAACTAGTTTATACTGAATGTCTTTGTTAAAACCCGTTTTGTCTAGTTGAAACTAGTTTATACTGAATGTCTTTGTTAAAACCCGTTTTGTCTAGTTGAAACTAGTTTATACTGAATGTCTTTGTTAAAACCCGTTTTGTCTAGTTGAAACTAGTTTATACTGAATGTCTTTGTTAAAACCCGTTTTGTCTAGTTGAAACTAGTTTATACTGAATGTCTTTGTTAAAACCCGTTTTGTCTAGTTGAAACTAGTTTATACTGAATGTCTTTGTTAAAACCCGTTTTGTCTAGTTGAAACTAGTTTATACTGAATGTCTTTGTTAAAACCCGTTTTGTCTAGTTGAAACTAGTTTATACTGAATGTCTTTGTTAAAACCCGTTTTGTCTAGTTGAAACTAGTTTATACTGAATGTCTTTGTTAAAACCCGTTTTGTCTAGTTGAAACTAGTTTATACTGAATGTCTTTGTTAAAACCCGTTTTGTCTAGTTGAAACTAGTTTATACTGAATGTCTTTGTTAAAACCCGTTTTGTCTAGTTGAAACTAGTTTATACTGAATGTCTTTGTTAAAACCCGTTTTGTCTAGTTGAAACTAGTTTATACTGAATGTCTTTGTTAAAACCCGTTTTGTCTAGTTGAAACTAGTTTATACTGAATGTCTTTGTTAAAACCCGTTTTGTCTAGTTGAAACTAGTTTATACTGAATGTCTTTGTTAAAACCCGTTTTGTCTAGTTGAAACTAGTTTATACTGAATGTCTTTGTTAAAACCCGTTTTGTCTAGTTGAAACTAGTTTATACTGAATGTCTTTGTTAAAACCCGTTTTGTCTAGTTGAAACTAGTTTATACTGAATGTCTTTGTTAAAACCCGTTTTGTCTAGTTGAAACTAGTTTATACTGAATGTCTTTGTTAAAACCCGTTTTGTCTAGTTGAAACTAGTTTATACTGAATGTCTTTGTTAAAACCCGTTTTGTCTAGTTGAAACTAGTTTATACTGAATGTCTTTGTTAAAACCCGTTTTGTCTAGTTGAAACTAGTTTATACTGAATGTCTTTGTTAAAACCCGTTTTGTCTAGTTGAAACTAGTTTATACTGAATGTCTTTGTTAAAACCCGTTTTGTCTAGTTGAAACTAGTTTATACTGAATGTCTTTGTTAAAACCCGTTTTGTCTAGTTGAAACTAGTTTATACTGAATGTCTTTGTTAAAACCCGTTTTGTCTAGTTGAAACTAGTTTATACTGAATGTCTTTGTTAAAACCCGTTTTGTCTAGT